GTTAAATAGGTTTGTACAATAAGTCCAAACAAGTTTAACCAAAAAATGTTTATTTCTCACAATTATGAAGGGTTAGGGTTAAGGTTGGGGTTAGGTTTAGGGTCAGGGTTAGGTTTAGGGTTGGGGTTAGGGTCAGGTTAGGTTTAGGGTTAGGTTCAGGGTTAGGATCAGGGTTAGAGTTAGGGTCAGATTTAAGTTTAAGGTCAGGGTTTAGGGTTAGGGTTAGGATGGAGGGTAAGGGACAGGGTTAGGGTTAAGTTTGGGTTTAGGGTTAAGTTTAGGGTTAGGTTTGGGGTTAGGGTTAGGGTTATGGTCAGGGTTAGGATTAGAGTTAGGTTTGGGGTTAAGGTTGGGGTTAGGGTCAGGGTGGAGGGTTAGTTTAGGGTTGGGTTTAGGTTTAGGGTTAGGATCAGGGTTAGGTTTAGGGTCAAGGTTAGGATTAGGGTTATGGTTATGATTAGGGTCAGGGTTATGGTTAGGAAGGAGGGTTAGGGTTAGGGTTAGGACATCGTTTGTCTTCTGATTTCGTATAGACAGTAAAGTTTCGTTTCCACCTGAGAAAGCTGCTCGTCACATGACTTCATCAAAATGGCCGACTTGTATGTGGGAGGAGTTGGATATCCTCCTGTCCGGTGACTGACTGACTCCTGCTCCTCTGGGCAGTGTGGGAATCAAACCCGCAGCCTGCAGCACTACTGGTACACTTCCTGGCCCGACCACAAAACGCCCGACTCGGCGCTGCCGCTGCTGCAGCTGATGGCCGACGTGGAGGCGGACCGGCGGGCCGCCGTCGCCATGGCAACGGGGCCGGTGATCGTCCACTGCAGGTACCCGCCGCCACCAAGGGGGTAGGGATGGGGATCGAAACCCGGTTCTATCAAGGACCCGGTTCCACTTTTTTCCAAACCCGAAAATCAATACCGTTTGGGCTTATTATCGATACCACTATCGAGTCTGGTCGTTTTTTTTATTGTTACAATAGTAATTGTGAAATCCGTGTTGTAATCGGCAGCATACAAGCTAGTTAGCTTAAAAAGTAAATAAAGTTTCAGACGTGCTGCGTGATGATGTGTTCAGACTGGTTCAGAAAAATGACAATTAGGTTATCATGATGCGTTCAAGTGTAACGTTAAGAAAAGGGAAATTGAGTTTTTGGCGAGAAACATGAGTAATACAGT